TTGCTCAGGACAGCCCCCATAGCAAAGCCATAAGCCCTCAAAGACTGAGACCGCAGAATGGAGCCTGGTTGATTGACTTTTGCTCCTGGTCGAGAGCCCAGGGTCAGATAAGGGAGGCAGGAGCTTGGAGGCTTTTGTCCTGCTTGGGAAGGGAGATGTGTTAGCCAGGCAGCAGTGAGAGCTGCCCAGAGCCCTGCAGGCAGCCCTCGGCCTGTGAAGCCCAGCCGACGAGCTCCTCGATAGAGAGACTCCATGGCAAGGGTGCTGGATTGTGTTCATTGGATGTTGTCTTTCATTTTTCCGTGCAAAGACCCCTGAAGCAAAACTCCAATATGCTGTGGGGCGGCTGTGGGAGTTGAAATATGCCCATTTCTTTTCTCAGGGGCTGGAAGAGGGTCCTGCTTAGTTCAGCCCCAAGTGGCCTTCCCCCCAGAAGGTGCTCTCCGGCTCCAGAGCCGTGCTTCTCGATGGGGGTGATTTTGTCCCCAGGGGCCATTGGGCAATGTCTGGAAATCTGCTCGTCACAAGGGGGATGGGGGTGGTTGTTGTCCCCGGCATCTGGTAAGTGGAGTCTGGGGACGCTGCTCAACACCCTGCAGTGCACAGACAGCCCTGGCACAGAGAGTATCTATAGTCTGCCTGTCTGTCATCTGTCTTTTATCTACCTGTGTATTGCCTATTTACCTATTCTCTGTCATCTATCTATCTATATACTTATCTGTCTTTCTAATCTGTCTGTCAATAATTTTTCGGAGAGTGATTCACAGCCCAGGTATGATTCTGCCCCCCTCCAGGAGGTGTCTGGCAGTGTCACTAATGAGAAGGGCGCTCCTGGCATCTGGTGGGGACACTGCTCAAGATCCTACAGTGCACAGCACAGCCCCAGCAGCGAGAATGATCCATAGTTCGTCCATCCGTCTTTCTTTCTATCTTTCTTACCTACCATCTACCTATATACTATCTATCCATCTATCTGTCTATCTATCTATCATCTGTCTTTCCATCAGTAAGTTCTCTGTGATACTGGTTCACAACCCAGGGGTGATTTTGCCTCCAGGAGACACTTGGCAATGTCTGTGGACATTTTTCTTTGTGCTCCTGGCATCTGGTGGGAGGATCCCAGGGATGCTGCTTGACACTCTACAGTGTACAGGACAGTCCCCACCACAGAGAACCAACCAACCCCGAATTTCACTAGTGCTGTGATGGAAAAACTGCTAGGGGGTAACTTTTAACCCATGGAAAGGGGACAAGTTGGGAAACTCACCCACCTCTACAGTAAAGGAGGCAGGAGCTGTCTGGGCCATTGATAAATAGATCTTTTTTCAGAACACCCAAGACCCTTTCCTCGTAGGAGGGACCTCCCATACCCAGCACAGAAGCACAGCACTCCACAGTTTGCTTGTTGGAGTGGCGAGAGTCCAGGACCGGGACACAAGGCTCAAGTTGGCACATCCCGCAGCACGTGAGTATGGGCACATCTGGTGAATATTGAAGCCAACACACGAGCACAGGAACTAGGGAAGGTCTCCCCTTCCTTGGATGAGGACTGAGCTTCATGTGACATTTCTCCTTTTCCAACCTGGCATCCAGATGATAGAAAACAGGGGTACCACCTGCACAGGGGGCTCCCCCAGGACACTTTTCAGCTCCCAAGGATTCCAGTGATGGTTCAGAGGCTGGAAGGTTTTAAACAAGCCCCAGGAATGACTCAGATACATGCACGTAGCCCAGGGGAGGCCAGAGATGGCCCCACCATTTATTAACAGCTCTGGGCTCATCCATGAAGTGGAGCTAAAAATGCTGTCAATATCTGTCCCTGAGGCCCACCTGAGCCAAGGTAGGGACAGCCTTGGCTTATCTGGCTGACTCCTCTCCCCCTCTACAACTTTCCATGGCTCATGTGTTCCCTGCCAAGTGAGCTGCACTAGTTCCCATGCTGCATCCTCTCCTGTGTCTCAAATATGTGTGTGTCCCAGCTTTCAAGGCCAGAAGCCCTGGGTGCCTGGAGTGCCCTTTCCTCCTCCCCTTTGCCTGTAGATTTCACTGTACTCATGATGCATCTGGAGGTTTCAAATCGGTGGCCCCCAAGGACCACTCTAGAAGTTCAGACCTGCTTGGCCTGTCTGGTGATGGACTGTTGACTTGACCAACTCAACCACGTTAGACAATCAGGACAGTCCAGGTAATAACTAGGGGCTTCTCAGGACAAATTGTAAGGGTGCCACATGCCTCTTGTGACCACTGATCTAGACCCAGCATCTCCACAGGTATCATTCCCAGGCCCCTTTTCTCTTCTCTTTGGTGATTTTTCTATGTGTGCAGGAGGCTTGTGGGAGCTCCAGTGTGGTTGGAGGGACCTGGGCACAAAAGGCCCAGAAATAGCTGGTTTTCACGTGAATTCATTCTGTACACATTCACTCAGGCATGCATTCACACAATCGTTCATTCATGGGCTCATTCACTTGGGCCTGCATTCACTGTTCATGCGTGTGATTCATTTACTCATTCATGCATAATTCATTCTTTAGGAATTCATTCACTCACTCGTTCTCACAGGCGTGCATGTAGTATCACATCTGTGAGTGTGTGCATCTCATCCACTCGTGCACACATTGATTCACTGGTTCATTCTTCCACCCGTTCACTCTTCCATACCTTTCGTTCATTCATTCACTCACACACACATTCCTTCCTCATGAATGCACGCATCATTCATTCCATCCTGCATGCAAAAATGTACTCATTCACTCATGCATTCACTCCCTCGTCCCACGCGTGGATTCACTCATTCAATCCTGCGTGAATTCACTCATTCACGCATGCACACATTTATTCACTCATTCATTCTTCCACCTGTCCACCTGTTCATGCCTTCTGTTCATTCATTCCTCACACACACATTCCTTCCTTATGAATGCATGCATTCACTCATTCAATCCTTCCTGCATGAGTTCAGTCATTCATTCACACATTCACTGGCTCATCCACGCATGGATCCACTCATTCATTCAAATGTTCATTTGGTAGCCCATGCGTGGATCCACTCATTCAGTCCTGCATGCACAGATTCACTCATTCACTCATGTGTTCACTCACTAGTCCACACGTGGATTCACTCATTCAATCCTGCATGCACAGGTTCACTCATTCACTCATGTGTTCACTCACTCGTCCACGCGTGGATCCACTCATTCAGTCCTGCGTGCACGGATCCACTCCTGCATGCACGGATTCAGTCCTGCGTGCACGGACTCAGTCCTTCACTCACTTCTTCACAGAGTCTTGCCTTCCTTTGCTCACGCGTACATTCGCTGTCCATTCCCCGCCCCTGCTCCATTTCTGTCCATTTATGCATGCGTTCACTCATTCATGCATGCCACTCCTGCAGCTGCTCGAGCAGGCATTGCCTCTCTCACCGGGGCATGCACTGACTCACTGGATCACTCATTCATTCACTCCCCCCTCCCTCATTCATTCATTCACTCACTCACGCATTCACGGGTCACATGCATTCACTCCTCCATGAAACGCACAGGCCTGCTTCCCTCACCTGCTCTCAGGTATTCCCTCCTGCGGTGATTGCTTCCGTAGCCATTCAGTCGTGCACACACGCACGTGCTCCTCTGGCCTTCTCTCCCCGGTACATTCAATAGCATCGTGGACCGAGGCCTGCCTTCCCGGCTGGGAACTTTCCAGATTGGCCTCCACCAGGGCGGGGCTCTGGCCATGCGCCCCGGCCCCTGAAGCCACGGCAAACATTTACTTTGGAGATGGCTGATTAAAGGTTAGATGTCCAAACCCAGAAGCCGGGGACTGCTGGATCCTGCGGGAAGCGGGGTGTGGGGGGCGGGGGCGCGTAAGGCAGCCCGGGCCCCTTCTTTGGTCTGTTTCCCGGGCAGCAGGAGCTGGGCACCAGGCGGCGCGCGGGCTCGCATGCGGGGGCTGCAGTATTCTGTTCACTCCTCGCACGCTTTGTTATCATTGGTGGGGCCGGGTTTCCGGCGAGAGGCCGATCCCGGGACTCGGGGCGCGCGGCCTCCCACAGGGCCGAGGCTGCCGGTGCGCGGAAGAGGTGCGCGGGGTGCAGGGGGACGGAGGGTCTGATGAGGGGTCGACGCGGGCCGGGGCAGAAGCTGCTGCAGCGCGAGAAGGTGCCGGAGACACGGGGGTGCGCGGCGCTGTGGGAGGGGCGCCGGCCCGAGGCTGAGGCTTCCGGGACGCGGAGAAGGGGCGGGGGGCGCAGTGGTGCCGGGAGCTTGGAGGAGGCCTTGGCCCCGGGAGCGCCGGGAGACTGAGGCAGTAAGAGCCCGGAGGAGGGGTGTGGGGGTCTGGGGCATCGGTCTGGGTCAGAGGCTGCCAGAGCGCAGAGGAGATGCTGGGGGTCGTAGGGCAGAATCCACCCGAGGGCACAAAAAGTCAGTACCACGGGGACTCGGGGCGCTGCGGTGGGCCAGGGTGGAGATAGGGGTGACCTGGGGGCGCCGGCCCAGGCTGGGAGGCAGAGGATGCTCGTGCATCGCAGGAGGTGCGAGGCGCGGCGGGGCTGTAGATGACTCTTCAGCGGGCCGGGGGTCGTGGGGACCCTGGCCGGGGGTCGAGAGCAAGGCCGAGCCAGGAGGAGGTGCGGGACACGTGGGGACCCAGGCGGGGGGCGTGCAGACGCTGTCACCAAGTACACGAGGGCCTCAAGGGTTATCTGAACGCAACAGGGTCACAGATGACTTTGGGGAGGGCCGGGGGGCCAAGGGGCGCCCGGCCCAGGGCAGTGGAGGACGTGCAGGGCGCAGAGGTCGGTAGAGGGACGAGGGAGGCCTGCGGGGTCTTCAGCGGAGGGTGTCGGGAACGCCGCGCTGTCGCCCACAGGCGGGCCTGGAATTCCACGCGGGTCCCCTGGAGACGGCGCCTCTGCTCTGTCGCTGCGTGGCCTGGAGAGTCTGTCCGCAGCGCCCAGGCGCACGCCGGCCCCTCTGCGCCCACCGCGCGCGGCACCTCAGACCATGCCGGGTGAGTAGCGCAGTGTTCCTTGGCTTCAGCCTCCCTGTCCCTGTTGGCACGTGCGACATGGGTCTGCGCTGGGGAGACCCCTGCTTTGAGTGCACGATTGTCCCACACCCTGAGCCCAGGCGCCTCCGATGCTGTTGGAGATGCGGGTGTGTCTCAGCATATGGCAAGGGGGTGACTTATCACATGTTAAGGGGCCTTGAGATTTCACAGTTTTCCTTCTGTGAAAGGTAGCCCTGGAAGCTTAAACGGGCTAGTTTCTTGGGAATAGCGTTGAAATGGCTCGAGTTGCTCCCTGCCTGGAAGGCTGGTGGGAAAATGCCGGTGCCCCTAATACGCCCTTAAAACTCTGAGGAGACAGTGCCTTGGGGTCCTCAGAGTTTAGACCATGGGCTTAATGTCTTTTTCCGATAAAGATCCGGGGTTAGTCACCCCAGCAGGCAGCAGGCCTGGAATGGAGAACTGGAAGGGACTTAAGTAAGGCCTGACCCCAGATGTGGACAGTCGACTTAAGAGGCATAGAAATGCAAGGATGGATTATAACCCCAATTGGTAAGAAAGATGCCACTCCCTTTCTTTCTTTCTTTCTTTCTTTCTTTCTTTCTTTCTTTTTTTTTATTAAGACACCTCCTTCACCTACCAGACCAGACTTGATGATTCATGAGTGCATTTGAAAACAAACCCATGACACAGATTATTTTTTATTCCGAGGAGGGATTTGGTAAATCACTGAGCTGCTTTCTATCCTGTTTTCTGTCGGGTCAGGGGTAGAAAAGGGTCATTTTTACATGGTGTTCTGTAAGATTCTGTTCTAAGAAGCAGCAGAAAAGAGGTTCTGTTTCAGGGACGGGTTTGGAGCTCTCCAAAGTGAAAACCACACGTTCCCCAAGGCTGCGAGGGCCCGTACAATGGCAGCATTCACCGATGGACATCGGGACCCATCGTGATCAGCACTGGAATGTGCTAGACCTAGTGTGGGGGTTCAGCTCTTTGCAGGAAACAAAACCCAGCTCAGAGTAGAAGGGAAGAGGAGAAAGCTGCGGATGCTATTTCTGAAGACGGTTTAAACAGGCAGGGGACAGAAATAAACACTTCTCACAGGTTCCTTTATAGAACTCTCAGCCACTGCGATCTCCAGGCTGGAGTTGGTTTGGTGAGACCTGAGGCTGGAATAGAGTGACAGGTGTATTTTTTGTTCTCACATTGGGCACTGACGCCAAACCCATTCTTTCAATGCATTGGGTAGCACTGGGTGATTATGAATATAGTGCTTTGCTGCGGCACCAAAAGTTGACAATTGGTAGTTTCATAAAGGCGAGGTGGTGTGGAATGTGAACATCTATTAATCAATTTTTCACCCTTTCTTACATTAAAATCCGCTGGTCTGTCTTTGCACTTTAGATGGATTTTGCAGCATCCTTCCTGAGCCCATGGTGGCTGAGCTTCACAGGTGCATGTTTTTTATCCAGAGTGAGAGTTGGAGCCTTAGGACCCTGGTCTCCAGAGAGGGGGCTCTTCCAACTGCTGTGGCTGTCTTGAAATGGTGTTAATATGATCAATATTCTGCCCATCCTAAACCAATGAGAGAGATGAGGGGCCCAGTGGTTCTATAAAACTCTCTCTGAAGGCAGCCCTGTCTGTCTCCTCCCCACGATTCAGAGAGCCTCTGGGAAAAGGGCCTGCTCTCAGTACCTTGGCTGTTTATGCTTCCGTGGGCCACTTTTACTCTCTCCACACCTCCACCATCCAGGTCCCCAAAGACTTCCTAGGTGATGTGTGTCGTTCCAGGGACCACGGCAATTCTGTCCTCTCCCAGGACCTCTCGGCTCCTGTCTGCCTTAGATGTGTCACAAGAAAGCAGCAGATGTGTCCAAACCAAGTGAATCAGAAACATCAAGCAATTGAAAATAGAATTTTTCTGGTGCCTGGCTTTATGACTTTTCGATGGGAGCTTATTTTACCAACAATGAATGAACATAAGTCCATCTAATTAGGTGTCATTTTTCATTGTTACGATGTGGGGGGGGGGCTTCTGGCTGAGGAGAGGATAAATGAGTAGAAAAGGATCGAGTGAGATAGTTTTCATGTCTCGATGTTATTACCTTGCAATTAGAAATAATTTAATACTCTTTATACGAATGTCCAACCAAAAAAAAAAAAAAATCAGCTCTTTCCATAGCTTTGTTGGGACCTTTTTTTTTTTTTTTATTTGAGAAAGATCCAGATTGCTTAAATGTAAAATAAATAGACAATTACAATGATGGAAATACAGTTTGGCAGGAAAAGATGGTTTCCCAGCTTATAAAGGACGGTTGGATGTGGAGTTAAACCTTAAGGAGTTACCAGGTGATTGCTATGCTTCCTTTGGCTCAGGTCCCTAAGTTTAAAAGCCCATTGTATGAGTCTGCGTGTGCTGCCATAACAAAGCACCACAGACTGGGTGGCTTACACAACAGACAGCTATTCTCTCACTGTCCTGGATGCTGGAAGTCTGAGATCAAGACGTGGCAGGGCTGGTTCCTCCTGAGGCCTCTCTCATCTTGTAGACAGCGTCTTGTCCCTGTGTCCTCACATGGTCATCCCTCTGTGCATGTCTGTGTCCTGATCGCCTCTTCTTGTAAGGACATCAGTCCTGTTGGATCAGGGCTCACCCTAGTGACCTCATTTTATCTTAATCACCTCTGTAAAGATCCTGTCTCCAAATACAGTCGCATTCTGAGGTCCTGGAGGTCAGGAATTCGACATAGTGATTTTGGGGCTCACATTCACCCCATGACACCCATTGATTGTAACAGTTCTATTGATGTCCTCACGATTAGCTATAAAAGTGTGCATTCAGTCATGAGTGCTGGATCACTTGGCCATTTCTCTTATGCTTTCCCCAGTACCTGACTTTACACAAACTCAGCTGTGTCTTCCTCCTGTCTGGAGGGCCAGAGAGACCTTTCTCCAATGCAGTGGGACGTTCTTTCACCACTTGGAGCCCTTGCAGAGCTCCTTGTAACCTTTGGGATAAAAGAAAAGTTCTGAGTGTTACCTTAAACCAGCTTCTCTGACCTTACCTGATTTAATCACTCCTTGTTCTCAGGCTCCAGCCACACTGGGAGAACACTTTAGTTCTCCTCAAAGTCTGTGCATCCTCTGATCTGCACCTCTCACCTCAGCTCAAGAATTTTTCCTTGCTGGATTCAGTCTTTCCCTGCTTTTTGTTATTTTTAGTTTAGTTTATTGCTTAAGGCAGGACAGAATAGCTATTCCGAGGGCATTTGCAGGCTTTGTTGTTAGAGGTGACCTCAGACAATTAATCAATCACTGCAGCCCCAGCTTTCTTGTCTATGAAGTGCATTTCTGGGCTGGGGTGGAAATTAAAGATGGAGCTTTTGTGCACTGTGTCTAGACATCCTGGATTCAAAAATGGACATATTGATTCTTGTTTGTTGATCGATTGGTGGATTGATAAGTTTTTCCTGGCCTTTTGGCCCTCAGCTTAGATGGCACATCTTTGGGAAACTCTGCTGACCGTGGTATTTTGTTTTCAAGAGCAATTGCTACATGGTATTGACACTGTTCATTGCTTACTGCTGCCACCGTTCCCCACTGGACTGCAGGTGTCTGGAGACAGAGATTGTACCTTGTCAACCGTTGGACCCAACATTTAGTATGGAGCCTCATGCATGGGAGGTGCCTGGAAAATGAATTCACAAGGAACAAGAAATGGAGAGCAGGTCCTTGGGTGCACACAGACCGTCTTCTGTCCCTTCACCATGTCATTTCTTCCACACCCACCTTCATTCCGTCCTTCATTATTTCTCTAAGCAGGTGCCTGAGTGTGGGCATCTCACGTACAAAGCATTGCAGACTGGGTTGAACTGTCCCTGAAAGGTCCTGTGAATGGGACCTTACTTGCAAATAGAGTCTTTGCAGATAGAATTCGTTAAGGACCCTGGATATAGGGTGGGCCCTAAATTGAATGACAAGTGTCCATCTAAGAAGAGGAGACACAGACACAGAGGAGAAACCAGGTGAAGACAGAGGCAGAGACTGGAGTGATGCAGCTACAAGCCAAGGGACACCTAGAGCCACCAGGAGCTGGAAGAGACAGGAAGAATCCTCCCCTGGAGCCTCTGGAGGGAACTGGATACAATTGTAAGACGTTGAATGGTGGCCCCCAAAACATATGTCCATGTCCTGACCCCCAGAACCTGTGAATCAGAACTTATTTGGAAATAGGGTCTTTACAGATGTAATTAACTTGAGGGTCTTTAGATGTGATCATTCTGGACACACACACAGAGGAGAAGCCACGTAAAGACAGAGGCAGAGACTGGAGTGGCCACAAGCCCAGGGACACCTGGAGTCACCAGGATCTAGAAAAGGCAGGAAGGATCCTCCCCTAGAGCTTTGATTTTGAAATTCTGGTCTCCAGAACTCGGAGAGAGTAAATGTCTGTTGTTTAAGCCCCCCAGTGAGTGGACCTTTCTCACAGCAGCCCTACAAAACTCATGCAGGAGTTTACTGTGGAAAGGCATCAGAGAAAAGCCCACCAGTAAGGAAAATGAGCAGAGAAGGTAAGTTGCCACAAGAGACAAAGGTGCCTTCAACGTGGGAGGTGAGAGGCCGTGATGAGAAGGGCTGACTGGGGGGGAGGCTTGGAGGAAGGTCTTCAGGGAACAGGTGGTCTTCTCAGCAGCTACCATATGCCTGATCAGAGAGAGAGTTCCAAGTGAGTTAGGGAGTCAGAGTAGCCCACTGGTGTCCCACCCATAGGAGGTGTTTGAAGACCCAGAGAGTTCTGGCCAGACATGGGGGCTGAGTGTAGGAGATGGAACTAGCAGGACTATGGACTGGACTTAAATTTGCAGCCCGTGGAGAAACTACAGATGTTGGGCTAATTTTCAGGGCAGCCAGTGACATCTCTGTGTTTCGGGGAGAGAAGATGGGGTTAGGGGGCTGTTGTAAGGACCAAGGAAAGCGATGATCTGTAAAGGAATCTACAGGAAGGA